AGTTTTTTTAAAAGTATCACTGCTATTGTGAATGGTCACATTCTGTGCTTATTTTGAATATGTCTGAACTCCAACAGAAACAGAGGGGCTCAAGGTTTAGCAATATGTCCCATGTATTGTCAAAGGCTTTCATGGCCGGAATCATTGGGTTGTTGTAGGTTTTTCGGGCTGTATAGCCATGTTCTAAAAGCATTCTCTCCGGACATTTCACCTGCATCTGCATCTGGACTTTCCACAGATATATAAACCCAATTTCCCAGTTTCCAACACACCTCACAACCTCTGAGGATGCCTGCCACAGATGCAGGTGAAACGTCAGGAGAGAATGCTTGTAAAACATGGCCATACAGCCTTAAAAACCTACAACAACTCAATATGTTCCATATTTTATTTCCCTTTGACAAGCATATTCACAATTAATACTTACCCATCCATAGTTATGCCTAACTATTCCTGCATTTGGGTAATGTGTCTCATCAAGTGGCTGTGGTTCAGAATGTTAGTCTTTCTCACTTTCATTCCTGCTAGTTGAGTTAGACTACACATCCCATTATCCTCAGATACCATGGCCAGTAGCCATGAAGTCCATATCGGGGCTGTTGTGTAAATGGATTCAGGAAGACTGGATTGTGTATTAATCTTTCAGATGCCTCAAGGCAGCTTTCGTTATAACTGACTTACACATCTATTTGTCACACATTGCAAATATTACATGAAATCTAATTTTCAGAGGATTAGCCATGATTAGAGAGTAATTTTGATATTTTTTGTTTATTGATATAGATGCCAAAGAAATAGATTAAAAAGTCACTGTTTTAGACTAAACTTCCAGAACCTCCCAGAAAGGACAGCTACTAACCAAACTGGGGGACCCTGCTCTAAAAAATGGAATTTCCCTTTTGTTTCTTCAACTATAGGTACTGATCCCTATTTCTGCACAGAATTTCAGACATTCATTTTTAAAAAGGAATTTCTTAGAATTCCAATACATCATAAGTAATTAATTATTTTTGTTACATTTTAAAGTAATGCTTTATCTTCTAGTTTCTCAAGTTCTTTTTAATTTAAAAAATAACAATTTAGCTGCTCAAATTTCTGGTGTGCAGTATAAAACACATTTACCTTCTGTCAGTCGCATCATCATCTCAACAATGACAACTAAGTATGAGGCAGCAGCACAAGGCTGTTGCTGAGCCATAGGATATTCTTTAATGAGACTACATTCTTAAAACTAGTAAAGTAACAAAAATATAATCTACCAGTAAAAAGAGATATGTTATTCCTAAAAAAATGCTAAGTTGTAATTCAGTGTAATATATATACCTCAGTTATAAGGGAAAATTGCTAACAACAAATAACTAGTTACTTGTAAATATTCTTCCCAATTCATTTTCTACAGCATTCTCCATGACCATTAAAATATTTGTAAGGAGTATTCCACATGACCTGCCCCCTTTCCCACCCCCTTTCCCCACCAAAACTAGCACTTGTAATAAATGAAATGTTCCTAGGGACATTTTTACGATCTTATGTGATATAGGAGAAGACACATCTCATCTGCTCTCTGTAAGGGGCTTTTGAACTAAGACTGACATTGCTGCTCTGCATTCTTCACAAGATCACAAAAATCCCCCCTCCCCCCCCCCAAGGTCACTCTGTAAATGTAAAAAATGTAGGTTTATATTTCCAAACAGATATAATTTTGGATTCAAAATCATAGGTTTGGAAATCATGAGGATCTGTCCACCAATTGCTATGCTGAGATCACAGCCTTTCATAGGAGTGGATTTTGGGAAGAGTTCCTGCAGATATTGCCACATGTGATCTCATCATACAGGACTTTTTCAACATCCTAGGATGCTTCCCCACCAGCCTCACAACAGACGGGCATTGCTGGACTTCTGGGAGAGGTCCCACTCACAACGGAAGTGGAAGCATTGTATAACACTTCCCTGGCAACACAAGGGCCTTCTAGTTTTGTGCTGGCTCCAACAGAGCACTGCTTTGGCAATGCTTCCCCTATGTGATGGGGAAGCGTCACCATAACAAAGTGGTGCCCAGGGCGACAGACTTGCCTCTTTGCTATAGAGGCTGGTGAAACAGTACAGGAGGAGTCACCTATAAAATAAGGTCACTAGTGAGGGTGAACCGAGAAAAGTGGAAGGTTCCTAGAAAAGCAAAGAGCAAAATTGCTAGTTTAGGAATAAAATATCTTAGATTTCAGAACTGAAACCTGAGATCTAGGAAAGGACCCATGGTAATGTAATGGATACCAGTAATATTACAGAAAATGGTTTCTGGGTTTTTGAGAAGACAGAAAAAGGTGAGCTTGTGTTTTGGAGTGTTTGACTGCACTCTATTATTATTATTATTAATAATAATAATAATAATAATAATAATAATAATAATAATTTGGGGTTTTGTATAGTGTTTGTTTTGGGAGCACATCATCACATTAAGTGCATCATCACATTAAGTCACCTACCATGGCAGTGGGGGAATCCATCACCCCACACCCCATAATACCTGCAGTGCCACCTTCCCCATCACACAGGGGAAAATGTTGCTGCCCAGCTTCTCTCCTGCACTCACTTCATTGCTCCTTCTATGATGCTTTCAGCACAGTTCAGGGATGGGGCCCTGCCAGAGGTAGCTGTACGTTGTTTGATGAAATCCCGCAGGCTCCATCCCTAAACTGCACTGAAAGTGCAACCCCCTCCCTCCTGACCTACTGTAAGAAAGTAAACCTAGCTTTGTGACTAAACATTTGGAGAACTTGAGAAATAGAAAGATATTGAATTGATGTGCATTGACTAACTGGAACAGCTGGACTACATTTAAGGATCATGTGATTAACTGCTAATGTATTGTTTTATATGTTTTCAAACTGTTTTAATGTATTTTAAAACTCTATTTATATATGGCTTCATATGGTTGCCTACTTGTAAGCCACCTTGAGTCCTCTCCGGGGTAGAGAAAGGCAGAGTAGAAATGCCATAAATAAATAAATAAAGTATCATACAACAAGTAAATTTCCTCACGTGATGAAGTCCAAAGGTTTCTACTAAGTCTTTTGATTGGTGAGGAGCTAACAGCCACTAACTCTATATAGCTGCTGCCTTTGTCACTAGAGCTTGGCAAGGGCATTTTATGGGTATTTTGCAGGGGACCTTAAAGGAAAAATCAGGAGAACTGTGCACAGTATATATATGATGATGAGCACCAATGGTGACAATGCTGTTGCAGTGAATGCAACATCTGTTTTCTTGTCAGAAAATATACAGCACTATTCCTACAAACTGATTGTCTATTGAAAAAGAAGGTGAGGCTTGATATCCCTATATCTACATTTCAACATTTCAGCTTGTCAGGGGAGAAGAACACAGCATAGAGGATGCCTTCAGGGACGGATGCATTTGAATGAGTTCAGCCTTGTTAGAGAGGTTAAAAATAATAAAGGGGGGTTGCTATGTTCAGAGCAAGAGTAAGAAAAAGGACATGGCAGGAGCCCTGCATTGAGATAGTGAAATGATAATAAAGGGCAGGGATAAAGCTGAACTGTTCAGTACCTGTTATGTCTCAGACTTTTCTTTAACAGAAAACAGGGCCCCAACTATTGCTCCCCAATTTTTGCTTCCTTTGTTCAACTACTGTCATCATCCTTCACTACTGGCTAGGCCTACTGATAATCAGAACTTGCTGAGTCTGTACTACTATCCCCACCCTCCTCCGGCAGATTGATTTATTTAGTTTATTTAGAACTCTATCTTCCCATATACTTTGTGACAACGCTAGTCCATGGCATTGATTGCCTGAAACACAGAAACCTGGAAACTGTAGCTAATAGTTGCAGTCACTAGATAAATCAATTGCACTGGGAAATTGATTCCCCGTAGAGTGACTATCTTCTTCCGCTTTAGGCTCACAAGTCACAACTGCCAACGCATTTAGCACATTCAAAACTCTTTTCTCTTTGGGGAGCAAGTGCCATAAATGATAAACAGTACAGAGCAGCCAAGAGTATGATTAGTTTGTGTTGTCTAACTTTGGCTGGTGCAATACTTCCTTTATCAAATTGCTTTCTTTGTGCCAGCAATGAAAACATGAAACCCACCTATTGAGACAACAGAATTAAATGCTTATATTTTAAAAATCTGGCTTTGAATTCTATTTTGAAGAAATCTTATCCATGACATGAGATAACATTTTCATTTGTCATGTTACCCTGTCAAAATAAAATTCAGTTTTATTTTCCATATGAGAGAGCAATACACAGCAACAAGTTTTATGAGGTTGGAGAACTCCGCAATTTGTGCAAATATCTTTCAAGCAAAACTAGTTTCATCAGGACTTAGTTGAAGTGGTAACAAAGATATGCAGGTTAAGATAGTTAGGAGTAATTTTCATAGCTTGAGAAAGGGACTTGGGAAATGAATGAGTGAATTGGGATTTTTCTTCCTTTAGGTACAATTTCATTGGAAGCAACCATAATAGCAAGTGCCCTTCAACTTGTATTCCAGTTAATGCCCTAGAAAGATGAACTCAGGCCCCTTCTACATTGGCACCATATCCCAGGATCTGATCCCAGATTATCTACTTAAGATAAACTATTTGGTAGTGGAGACTCATATAATCCAGTTCAAATCAGATAACCTGGGATCAGATCCTGGCCTATAGGGAAGTGTAAAAGGGGGCTCACATACCAAGGTGTTAGATTACAGGGAAATAAACTAGTAAGAAGTGTCTTGACTTTGCTAGAAACTTAAGGTTACAGGAAGCAAGGAGATTAATATTCTTTAACAGCCTTTGATGAGATGGAAGCTCATTTCTCCCACACCTAAAATAAATCTTGCTCTGCATTTAAAATGAAATTTGACTTCGCACATTATCATCTTAGAGGAAAATAAAACATTTGCACAATTCACTGAGGTAATTCATTAGCAGGGAAGTGTGCCTGCTGAGCAAGATTAACATTTGTATGTTTTGGGTTTGTTTTACAGACTCTGCAAATGGATGTAAACAAGCTGAATATCACATTGCTTCGGATCTTCCGTCAAGGAGTAGCTGCTGCTTTAGGACTGCTGCCACAGCAAGTGCACATCAACAGACTCCTTGTAAGTGGCAAGCCTTTAATGTAACTATTTGTACTGCTTTGTTTGCATGTTCTGAAATCCAGCCTAGTTGAACACTGAGAAGATTTCCTACAACTGCTGACTGCAGGACTAACACCTTACAGCCATCCAAGCTCACTAGTACAACTCATTCTTGTAAGAAGTCCCAGAACACATTCATTTTGATCGGTTTTGGCTTGTGGTCCTTGAGATATTGTTGGATTCCAAGTCCCATCATCTTTGATTTGCTGTGCTCTGTGAGATAATAACAGTGCTCCATGCAGTCATGCCAGCCACCTGACCTTGGAGGTGTCTACAGACAACGCCAGCTCTTCGGCTTAGAAATGGAGATGAGCACCAATCCCCAGAGTCAAACATGACTGGACTTAATGTCAGGGGAAAAACTTTACCTTTTACTGTGAGATAAAAGGAATTTGTTAGATGTGCAAATATAGATGAAAAAGGTAAACACTGGAGACTGGAACCTTTTGAAGGATTAGCAGAGGTTTGTTGAAGGCTTTCATGGCTTGAATCACTGGGTTGCTGTGAGTTTTCTAGGCTGTATAGCCATGTTCTCTTGATGTTTTCCCCACATCTATGGCAGGCATCCTCAGAGGTTGTAAGGTCTGGGTTGTTGTAGGTTTTTTTTCCGGGCTATATTGCCATGTTCTAGAGGCATTCTTTCCTGACGTTTCACCTGTATCTATGGCAAGCATCCTCACTACCTCTGAGGATGCTTGCCATAGATGCAGGCAAAACATCAGGAGAGAATGCCTCTAGAACATGGCCATATAGCCCAAAAAAACCTACAACAGCCCAGTGATTCCAGCCATGAAAGCCTTTGACAATATGTTGTAAGGTCTGTTGGAAACTAGACAAGTGAGGTTTATATATCTGTGGAATGCGGAATGATTGAGTCTTGTCTGAAATTACCCTGTTTTTTTTTTAGTGTTGCTCTTTATTTACTGTCCTCATTTTAGAGTTTTTTTAATACTGGTAGCCAGATTTATAATTGCTTCACTCAGCAAAGGACAGGAGGGATCCTCTCATCTCTGCAGGAGTCTACTGCATACCATGCAGCTGTGGACAAGTCTATATAGGACCACCAAATGCAGCATTGCCCAAACACAATTCATGGAACATGAAAGGTACTATGGACTAATTAAACCAGAGAAGTCAACCATAGCAGAGCACCTGATGAACCAACCTGGACACAGCATATTATTTGAGAACACAGAAATGCTGGACCACTCTAGCAATCACTATGTCAGACTACGCAGAGAAGCCATTGAAAGCCTCATGTGGACAATTTCAACGTAAAGGAAGAAACCATGAAAATGAATAAAATATCGCTACCAGTATTAAAACTCAACTCAAAAATCAGGACAGTAAATAAAGAGCAACACTAAAAAAAAAAAGAGGGAAAATCCAGACAAGAATCAGTCAAGGCCAGATAACACCTCCCGACAAAGGATCCCCCAGACAACAACCAGCCAAGCTTTGAAATTGCAAGGCCATTAATCAAGGTGGCTAATTGAAATATTCACACTTGCTTCAAGAAGACAAGAGTTCTTTCTCCCACCCCAAACATTCCACAGATATATAAACCTCACTTGTGATGTGAGTTTCCAGCTGACCTCACAACCTTTGAGGATGCCCGGCATAGATGTGGGCAGAATGTCAGGAGAAAATGTTTCTGGAGCAAGGCCATACAGTCCGGAAAACTCACAGCAATCCAGATTAGCAGGGGGTTTCAAAAGCTAGGGAAAAAAGGTTCAGGGATCACAACTGGGAATCTCCCCTATTCCTTGTCTAGGCAAAGTGTAAAAAATCCCTAAGGAGATTTCATAAAGGCTTTTGCATGAGCAAAGTTCTGACACTTGTACCAAATCAATTACCTTCTATCTATCAAGGAATACAATCTCATCTATTGGGGCACTATAAATCTCCAAACAGCCACCTACAAACACAGAGACATTCATGTGTTATTTCCTTGAACAATGTTAAATTATAACAACATCCTTTACATCCATAAGCCATCCCAGCAGGCATGCATCAGATTCAAAGTGGGACATATATTTATTTCAGCATAGCCTGATAAAATCTTAGCAAAGCTAAGATTTGGTCTATTTTTATAGGAATGTTTGTTATCAGTTATCAGGTACAGCACAGTTGTCATGTACAGCATTCTTCTTATGTTGCAGGCTATCAAAGGCAGTCTAATCTGTGGGCTCTATCTGACTCTTTTACCTTTTCCTAGACTTAAGCAGCTGCCAGTTTCCCAGTGATACATACACACTGTAATATAGTCAGCTTCCTGTATTGCAGTTTGTATTCCAGGCATTGTCAATTGTACCAGGTTACACTTTATTCTTCATTGATTTATTTTGAGCTTGCACAATCATCAACTGAATATTTCAGAATATGTAACATGCCACCCCAGCAGTAGGCCTTCTCTCAGGCTGGATCTACACTGTCCCTATATCCCAGGATCTGATCCCAGATTATTTGTTTCTCCTGGGTTACCCGGCAGTGGAGACTCATATATCCAGTTCAATCCAGTTCAAAACAGATAACCTAGGATCAGATTCTGAGATATAGGAGAGTGTAGAGCAGTGGTTCCCATGCTTTTTTTTTTTTTACCAAGGACCACTTGACCAGGGACCACTTTGACCAGAGACCAATCTCCAACCAAAAGGGTTATGAATCAGTTTTGGTAACTTTAGATTTGGTTTGGTTATTTGGGATGCTGATTCAGAAAATTGCATTGGATAGATCACATCAGTTCTAGTGTCTGATACAGAACATATGTCCTCCAGTAGTCGCTATCTGCTCACCCACAAAAAACCATATTTAATAATCTAGACCAGGAACAGGCCAAAAACAAAGACACCAGGGCACTCTCACTTCCAAAAGCCACATGGAATGGCTTCGCTCAGGGGGAGGGGGAGGGAGGAGAAACAGCAGCCAGGGGGGTTGTTGTTGTGCCTTTCTTGGCTAATCAGCCTCTCCCCTCCCAACATCTCAATTGCCTTGGCACTATAAGAGGGTTTCACAAGACCAGTCACCTTTGTTGAAACAGTGTAGTAACAGTGAGACCGTGGACCATATTTTAGTTCTTGGGGACCACTGGTGATCCATGGTAGGTGTAGTAGGAAGGTCCGATCGTTATGTTCTGGTGGAGATTAATAAGATCACCACCACACATCTAATTCTTTTAGCTACAGAAAAATGCGGAAGTACATTCAAAATCCCTAGCAGGTTATTTGAAAGTTACTTTTTTGGACTAGTGTGGATGTAGCCAGGCATGTAGCCGGGGGGGGGGGGCTTGAGGGGCTTCAGCCCCCCCCCCCCCGAAATTCTCATGCTGGTTCGCGAAAAGGCCTTACTGGTGCATTATTTAAACTGTTATGTTTATTCATATCATGATCTGATCACCATACTCAATATATCCCATATGCATGGGGGTATTGGGATAATGATACAAAAGGTTTGCTAGGCTAGACCCTCTTTCACTCACTCAGCCCCCCCCCCCCCAAATCGAAATCCTGGTTACAGGCCTGGATGTAGCTCTTTTCAAATGTCTACATTTTGGACATTTATAATTCCAGCTTGGAATGGGAGGAACCAAACCATTGAAGGTTCTTTCTAGTTGGGTTTCCTTAAGAGCAGACTTTCTTCTACCCTTTTATATATATATTCTTTTACTAGGGCAAGAAAAACTGCATTGAGCTCTTTGTATCACCGGTAAATAGGAAAGGAGCTTATGATACACTCCCATCAGAAGAAGTCCTGAGGTCTCTTAACATCAATGTACTGCACCAGAGTTTATCCCAGTTTGGGATTACAGATGTATCACCAGAGGTAAGTTACTAGCAGTGTAATGTTCCTCATGTCACCAGGAAAAAAAATGTCTCATAAGTGCTGTTTTTCAATCCTGTGCTTTTTTAAAAAAATTTCCATCCTGGGCTTGTTTTCTCACTTTTGCAGGGGTAGCTGTTGATAACCTCATGAAATTTCATCATATTGACATGGTTCATTTATCTTTTATACATTGGCCCTCTTTGCTTATCAGCTCATTTCATTTGCATCTGCTTTTGGTTACTGGTAAGGTTCACACCTGTGATAACCTGTTGAAAGAGTTGTGGGACAAGATAATATAAGAGACGAACTGAAAATGTCAGCAGTTCTTGCTGAATTCTCATCTGCCGAACCAGGTGGTTTCCAAGAAGAAATTAGTCTTGGTTATGTAACCTGATACAATTTGCTATATTTATGAAAAGACCTTTCCAGCAACCACTAAGGAAATACTAAAGTAATCTTTTACTCATGTAAGAGTAATGGTATCAACATTGTTAGGAGCGTGATCGGTATTGATTTACTCAAGTGCTTTATATTCTTGAAAAATCTTACTAAGAGAAAAAACTTCATACCTAGCTGACAAGGGCTCTCAAGTGCACACCCAGAACCATGTAATTACATGTTGTTTTCCTTTTGTGTTTTTGAAAATCAAAGAAAAATGTTCTGCAAGGCAAGCACGAATCAGGCAAACTCTGGAGCAAAGAAGGGTTTTATGCTGTCATCATCTTTCTCAGCATCTTTGTTATTATTGTGACATGTCTGATGGTAAGTTGGTTGCTTTAATTTTCTTTTCTTCACTTGCCTCTATCTGAAAAGCAAAACCTGCCTACTTGTTCCAAAAGAAGTTTGCGTAATGCAATCTGTCCTTAATCTGTAACAAACGTAACTCTGCAAGGTCACATTTGGCATGAATTGTAATTATTTATCTCTGAAGAGTGACATTTATGTTTAACTGATTTTAAAAAGGAGATGTTTTTGATGTTTTAATGGGGGAACTATTTTTTACAAATGTCCCTCATTCAACCACATGTACTTGCAGTCATCATGGTTGAGTTATTGTCACAAATCCATAATTATGTTGTTCTTTGAGCAGAAAAAGTGGGTGGAAGAGGGGCTAGGGGGCTTACATCTTTTTGAAGAGAACTCCTCGTGTGACAGCCTGAAAGCCAAATGGGTGATAACATATTGCATGTTCACTACCCATTTATGCACATGCTGTCCTAAATCCAATTTCTAGTTCCAACTAGAACAGTGGTTTTCAACCTGAGGTTCCCCAGATGTTTTGGCCTTCAACTGGTAAACTGGCTGGGATTTCTAGGAGTTACAGGCCAAAACATCTGGGGACCCACAAGTTGAGAACCACTAAACTAGAATAACCCATTGAGTCAAATGATCAATGGCAGCAAAGGTTCCAATTAGAACAGCCCATTGAGTCAAATGTCCTGACAAACATTTGCATCAAGATACGCTGATCAGGGAAGTACCATTCGCTGTCACTCCCCACTGACTGTGCTCTGAGGAAAAAACATGATTCCCCTCTGCAAACTATGGTTAGAGTAGCAAAGCCTGAGATAGTTTTGCTTTTTGGATTACCTAATTTGCACTCGCACACTTTCTTCTAAGAGATCACGAAAAGGGATTCTTGATAATCTATTTAATTCCAGTGTTTTCTGTGCTGTCTTTCCACCCTTTGTGCTGTTCTCATTTATGGAAGTGTTATCTTCGGTTTTAGAGCTCTAAATATATTTTCTATCCAAACTGGCAAAATGCTATTGGGGCCTTTTAAAACCTTCTTTTGGGTATGATTATGCAGTTGCCTCCTGTCGTCTCTTCCCTGGTGATAGCATTTCTGAATTGCCCTTTATTAGTTAGCTTCTGTTATCTGCAGTGTTGGGAGTGAATTAATCCCTAGTTTCCTCTTTACACAACCAGAGCAACAGCTTTTTGTTGTATTGTTATTTTCCTTTTGATTATCTCACTTGTGAAACTGGGCTTGTAAAAATTAAAAATGAACATTTGCTTTGGCCTCAAAGGGAGGACTAATAACAAAAACTCCCTCAATAAGAGTGTTCATCTTCAAGAATAAGGAGGAAACTACTAATTAATGGACAACTGCTAGCATACAAAGGAGCTCACTATTATAGGAGATACTTTGGAAAATGAATAGTACTACATTCTCTGTGTCATATTTACTGTCATATTTGGGGAGCATGGCAATATACTAGATGCTATGGAGACTATACAACTATGTCCATTGTGGACCAATAAAGGAGGGAGGAGATGCCTCCCCTTCTGAATTTGAAAGGGCCCTCTGAAAAACAAACACTTTCCCCAACAAGCTGCCATCAACTATATGTAGTAATTGTTTATTAATTGTGTAATGTGTTAGGTTGTTAACTGTTTTTACACCGTAGCATTGAATTTTTGCTGTTCTTATTTGTTGTGAACCGCTGTGAGTCACCTTCGGGCTGAGAACAGTGGTATATAAGCAGAGTAAATAAATAAATAAATAGTTTTATTTTAATTTTATTACTGAGGCAAGCAGTGCATTGGTAGCCCAAATTTTTGGAAGTAATTGTCACAGCTTGGTGAGTAAGAAGTTATCCCTGAACTTAAAACATAACATTAAGTTGAAGGCAAAGCCAGATTCCTATGAATTGGAGCTAGTCTTTAAAAATTGTCTTAGGGCCCTTCCACACACAGCCATATAACACAGAATATCAAGTAGGATAATTCACAATATCTTTTTTGAACTGGGTTATCTGAGTCCACACTGCCATATAACCCAATTCAATGTGAATTTTATACAACTGTGGGTGGATCCAGACAGACACTTACCCCAGAAGCATCCACGTTTTAAAAACGTGGATTTTCTGGTAGACCTGACCACTCACACCCCAGAAAGCACACACTTTCTGGGGTGGGTGTCCAGACGTTCTTTCAGGACAATCCCGAGAAAACGTGTGGAGGCCCTACCCCTCCTCCCCAAAGCCCCCAGACCCCTTAGACAAGTAATAAAAACTTTTGTAGTGCCCATTAGAAGCCTCAGTCGGCTCTCCCAGCGCATAGAAATGATGTGCCAGGAGAGTGGGGAGGAGCGATTTTCCTCCAACTCCCACCTCCCCACTCTCCTGGCATGTCATTTCTACGCACCAGGAGAGCCAGCTGCGGCTTCTAATGGATGCTACATAAGTTTTTATTACTTTTCTAAGGGGCCTGGGGGCTTGCGGGGAGGGTAGTGGCTATTCCTACAGTTTACCGGGGTTATTTAGCCTGGTAAACTGTGGGAATACTGTCTGGACTGCAGCATTCTGCAGTCCAGACCTGGAAATAGTGGATTTATCCCACACCTTCCAAGAAGGCACAGAATAAAACCACTATCCAATTAATTCACTACAAACCAGGAACGTTGTCTGGACAGCCTCTCCTTTATTGCGGTAGTTCCCACAATAAAGGCCCTGTGTGGAAGGGCCTCGGTTTTTTTGTGTTTCACTCCAGCATGGCAGTCTGATATTTTTGTCTTAGCATCTGTTCATGGCAAAAAGACGGTTATAAAAGTTTTGATTCTCCAAAAGACCGTCTTTCTCATCTGCCCTAGTTACCAAGGATTGTGGTGAAGGATTCTAGGAACTATGACACACACAAAAATCTCTGAAGTCACAAGTTTCCAAACCCTGATCTAATAACAATCTTGAATATTGAGTACAAAAATGTGTTGAATGAAATCTGATTTTTTTTCAGATTTAATAACAGTGTTATCTATTTCCTGTGATGATTATTAATATCCACTTCATTATCCAGTTCATTTCATTACTTTGTGTCTTTTCAGAATGTAAGATAAAATAAATTCTTTTATCTATTTTCAACAGGTTCTGTATCGACTGAAAGAGAAAATACAATTTTCGGTCAGGCAAGATAAGCAGAAAAAACAGGAAATTCACCTTTCTTCCGTCCCACTTCAGAAAGCTCCATCTGAGTACAAAGCAGCAAACAGAATGGTTCAACCTGAACAAGCTCCTAAAGTTGTAAATGTTGTGGTTGATCCTCAAGGACAATGTCCTCCTGAGTTCAAGTCCAGCCTTTCAGCCAGCCCATCACCTTTCAAAATGAAACCAGTGGGATTGCAAGAAAGGTATAGTTATGCCCTTGTTAGTAGTACTTATCACTGTTAAGGCAGGAATGGAGATTTCTCAGCTTTCCATCATTTATCACCATTAGTTAGACTACCTAGGGATGATGGGAATTAAAGTTCAACAATACAGATTTTCTAGTCCTGTTCCAAGATGTAACCCTACAAGTCATGTTTTAAAGATTAAGTGACGTGCTGAGTTTTGTATTTCTGCAGCAAAAACAATGGTTATAAGACACCTATAAACTGGCAAATAATGAAATAATGGGACTTCAGCATCCACAGATTTTGATATTTGCATAAGGTCCTACAACCACATCCCAGCGGAAACCAAGGATCCACTTTACATTGTAAAAAGCCTCTCAAAATTCAGAGACATGTGAGAACTGAAAGATAATCGTTCTCCTGTTTGCACATTAGTAAATCAGATTATGCTGCATTAAAAAAAACAACACAAAACTATTTCATCCCCATGCCTACATGCCATATGATGCTTAACTATGATCTTACTCCTAATTACAGATTGGCCTGAAGTGTCATTCAGCGAGAACAGTTCTTTTATCTGCTTGACTATTGCAATTATTCTTTATTTATTTAGAAGATTTCTCATTATTGGAAATATTTTCTAATCCAGGTTCACTCTATAAGTGAGTAGGGTGGGCGCTGAGAATTTACCATGCTAAATTGCCTTAGTTTGGAAATGATGTTACTGGTGATGGGCAGTGACATCTAGAGGAGAAAGAAAATATTGGCCAAACTTTTTTATTCCCTTTAGGATAACTTATTGCAACACCTATTTATTTGGGAAGACAGAATGTGAGAGAGACAGGAAGGAGAGGGAGAAGATGGATGGATGGATGGATGGATGGATGGATGGATGGATGGATGGATGGATGGATGGATGGATGGATGGATGGATGATGATGCATGGATGCATGGATGGATGCATGCATGGATGCATGGATGCATGGATGCATGGATGCATGGATGCATGGATGCATGGATGCATAGATAGATAGATAGATAGATAGATAGATAGATAGATAGAGGAGAAAGAAAATATTGGCCAAACATTTTTATTCCCTTTAGGATAACTTATTGCAACACCTATTTATTTGGGAAGACAGAATGTGAGAGAGACAGGAAGGAGAGGGAGAAGATGGATGGATGGATGGATGGATGGATGGATGGATGGATGGATGGATGGATGGATAGATAGATAGATAGATAGATAGATAGATAGATAGAATAGATAGATAGATAGACCATATAGTCAGGGATATATCTACAGGGAGGCAAAATAACAACATTGCCCCCCCCCCCCAAATAATTTTGCTCCAGAAAATTTGCCTTCGGTTTCCAAGTTACTAACATTGCAGTAATATAGAAGTTCAGCCAAACATTTAGAAATACAGTTTAGGCATCTAAAGACCAGAAGCATAACCAAAGGAATGCAAACAGGTTAGAATAGTTTTCAATGCCTCATTCTCTACAATGGTAGAAATTTGGGAACTGAAAGAGAATTACAGTTGCAATGAAACCATAATTAGGAAACTTCAAGCAAAAGCATACCATAGGACCTAGAACATTTCTAGAAAGGACATATTTTGTCACATGCAGGTAGATGAAATCACAAGTACTAGTCAGGTGTGGGATTTATAGTGTATGGCTTGTCCAAATAATGCAGGAGTTACAGTAATAAAAAGAAGTGTATATGCTAAGTAATGATATCTAAATGATAATAATCAGGAGACAAGTTCTGCCGTATTGGAATAAAGCAATGTAGGAAATTGGCCTTCTTAGTGGACCCTCTTTTCTCTTCCCTCTACTGCCTCCTTGATTCATAATTTCCCTTATTATACCTTTTTTATTTTGTTTAAGGGCATGAAGAACGTTGAATGAATTACAATTTGACAGAAATTGTCCAAATAAAAATAGATCAAGATATAGTTAAAAAGCAATTGGGGTGACATTCTATTCCCATCAACCAAATTAAAGATGCTTGGAGTTGTGGAAGAACAAGTTGGAGAAGGCCGAGGCTGCTTCTATACTGCCATATAATCCAAATTATCAAAGCAGATAACCCACATTATCTGCTTTGAACTGGATTATATTAGTTTACACTGCCATATAATCCAGTTCAAAGCAGATAATTTGGATTTTATATATCAGTGTAGAAGGTCCCTGAGATAACAACCTATTGTATGATGTGATGCTCCTTGCTCCTTGAGAAGGAATTCCTCTTGGCCAGTTGAGCTGAGCTCTATGGAAAGGAGGAACCCCTTTCACAAATAAATCTCTCATTTGCAAGAAATAGATGAAGCATGTTTAACTTCCTTTTTTCAGAAATTAGAATTGTGATATGAATGAGCTGTTGCTGTTGTAGTTGTTAAACCCAATACTTTTCCATTTTCCTACATCTCAAGAACTGTTACATCTTTACAAGTTGCATCTTCATATCTCCATTGAAGTGTTATGGGAGAAGTTGGGAAGCAACCTTGCCCAAGCATTTACATACAGCAAGCTCTTGGCAGCTGCTGCAGTTTGAGTCCATAACCGCACATGGATAACAAAACACATGGATGCTAAGGTCCCATTATATATACAAATTGTGTTCCTTATACAAATGATGAGCAATAGTGCTAAAGAGAGACTGAAGATCTATGAAATGATGAGAAGCTACAGCAGGGATTGTCTACATGTCAACATAGTGCTCAGTGCAAAGCAAAATTCAGGTTTGTCTTTTGGATTTCCTCAAATATTTATGAGCTATGGTTGGCAGAATCCATGGATGCAGAGCCTATAGCTACAGAAGGTATGTGTTTCAAGGTCTGAATCCAGCTCAGTTCAGATATAAAGAAACCTAGTAGATTATAGAAATAAGAAAATAAACACTTTAACTGCTCTCGCCCTTGTATATTTTCATGGAGAATGCCATTCTGAAGAGGAAAGCCTCTTCTATTCATTGAGGTTGTCCACAATATTAAGAAGATTGAAAAATCCCATTGTGAATCATGTATAGAGCCTCTACCTCCAGAGGATGCTCTCTATTGAATTCCAACCATAGAAGGTTGATGGAGAAACAAGTTAATGTTTTCACCCTCCACCTGGGCCTTTTTACATGGCAAAAATATAATACTGCATTCCACTTTAGTTATCATGGCTACATTCTATAGAATGCCAGGTTTTGTAGTTGAGTATTCCTCAGGGATTGGGGTGACCAATATGATCTTGTCATCTAACATGTCTGAGAATTTAGACCAATCTGCCTTTCTGAGGTTGAATCTCCATTTAAATCAAACTTCCTGAGGCCTTATAGTTGTATTTGGTATTGGTGGTCCCAGTGATTTAGTGCATTGCTGCACAATGCTGTCACTCACAAATAGGAGGTCTGGGTTATATCCTCGGTGACATCTCCCACTGTTGTAAGATAGTGGGAGCTTACTATCATGGATAAGAAATAGTTTGTGTGATTCAGCCCAAACAATTCAGTAGTTTGGCGATGCACAAGAAGTTCCTGGCTGGGAATTATGAATATCCTTCTTAAACTGCTTCCAGAATTCCATAGAATATTGCTATGGCAATTAAAATGGAACATTGTTGCATAATTGAATAGTGTGAAAGGGCCTACATAGTTTGGGATACATAGCTCTTGAGGATGTGTATTTTCCTTATTTTGCATGTACCAGGATCTCTTTTGAACTTTGGTTTCCAGAATTGTCCACCTTGTATGACCACTGTAATTGTTTGTGCTATAATTCGAACAACTAACATTTGAGTCTGTTGCCAAGATGGAAAAATCCACCATTCATCCAAGCTAATAGTTTCTTGGAACATGCCTGTGAGGAAAAACAAGGTGTCAAGTGGCTATTGATGTCTTTTAGGTCTTTCCCAAATGCATTCCTCAGTGACATTCAATTAATTTAAAAATGGGTTCCATCTATGTTGAGCTTCTGATAGGCAGCCAAAATCACACTGTTTAGTTGGACTTTTTAAACTCAGAGTTGGGTTTGGGGACTCTCTTTGTGTGTGTTATGTTTTAACACTGTTTTAAATTGCTCTGGTCTGTTCTTAAAGAAAGTTTTTCTCTGTTGTGTATCACCTCAATGGCCCTGTTCGGCTGAGAGACGACAAACAAAGAAATAATTGAGTGAAATTGCTGGCCTAAGTATCACCCCTTGTGCTATATATAATATAAGTACTGTTAAACATTTCCTGCCTTTTTGGTTCAATACAGCGTTAAGAGCAATTGCTTGACATTAAGTATTGTGTTGCTCTCTGCAAACTTAATAATGAAACCATGCCAGTATTTGCGTATAGTAGGTAGCACAAGCATGAGAACCTAATATATTTACAGGAAGAGATCTGGAATTTCCTGGCTGAAACATACAGTTTTGCATAGATGTAGAGGATAAATTTGCTCTATTGTGTTGAGATGAATGTGCTTTCAACATTGCTTAATATAACTTTTTGTTGCTTTTAGTGGAGCGTCAACAATGGTTTAAAAACAGAGGCTTGCAGCAATATCCCAAGAAAGTTTTTTTAAGAAGAGTTATTTCAAAGAAAACTTTCATGAGGAGATCATGCCTAATACTCTGGTTCTTCATGATCACATATGTTGCCCATGAACTATTTCAGTTCTGCACTTGTGGCCATGTGAAGTTGCCATGCATGAAGCCATACAATTCCTGCACAACCGGGGACAGAATCCTGATTGCCCTAAAATTCCACTGATGCATGTCAGGGCTGTGCACAGATCCATTTTTCAAAACAGGCTCCAGATGATTCAGCATTTTCAGCTGCTGGGTCACCTGTGGCGGCATGGGTGGTATGGCCATATTTTTTCAGCCGCAACAAAATGCGGCTGCTGAAAATGTCTGCTTTTGGTTTCTTTCAGCTATATGTGGAGTGCAAAGAGGGAGCGGTTTTAGACAGGTGCACCCATAGTTTCCCAGTGAGGCTGTGAGCCCTGCTGCTTGCCTGAACCAATCAGAAGAAGAAAG